TAGTGTAGTCAATGAGTTAATGAACCGTTCTAGATTTGTACATTAAAAATTTAAAAACAATTTCCGCAAACATATTACAGAGCACATGTATTGATACAACAAACCTAGATTTACAGATTTACAAACTGTCACTTGATTGAACTTTTAATTAAATATGCTTTAGGACAAAAATTGTGATTCTATTTACCAAGTATAATTTAAATCAATAGTTTGATTTTTAGAACATGTGCAGGCAATATTAAAACGATACGTCTTGTGGATGGTACTCGTGTTATACCGGATGAAGTTTAAATTCAGAATATCAGGTAATAGATGTTAATATTCAAAGGCATATAATAGCAAAATCCGGTTAAAACACCAACTGTATGGATAAATTCCTAGTAACACTGTCAACGGCTTTCACATTAAGTACATTGTTTTATTAGTTTGAATAATGTCGAGTATGTTTTGTCTGAATTGTTCATTGTTTTAACCAATTATCCAAATTACGATTGCATATGGATCAGTGATACCTTTGGAACGAAACGTTTACACACAAAAGTAATTCACTCATAGTATTTTCTATAAATACCTAATTGGTATTCGGTATAGCGGAAGTCCATTACCAATTGATTGTAATGTAATAATTAAAGTAACAAATTTTCATTCTTAAAAGATTTAAAATCACACGAGTCCGCTTAATTTAATTATGTGATAGGTGTTATGTAATATTATAGAGGTTTGTAATTTGTCCTCTTTATCTTGTTTATTACAAACGTAAAAATTATTATATGTTAGGTTAAACAAAAACAACGAGCTACTAAATGTCATACCTCAACAACTCCAGAGTTCAAGGAAATAAAAGTACACTTTTATTTAAGATACAACTAAAGTTTAAAAAAACATTAAGATTTTTATGGACTAAAAAAACAATTTATTTTTCTTTATAATAATTTTTAACAGTAGAAATGCTGACTTTAAATAATATTTGGTCCTTCCTACTTAAAATAAATACAAAGAAAATATGTTTAGAATTTTTATATTTATTATTTAAATAGGTTAAATTTGAATGTAAAGTATTTTAAGAAACCCTTTTATTGAACTTTAGTATGCTTTATTGTGGAACTTACCTTCATTACTTACACATATACACGTTCACTGTCTTAGTAGTTTCAAAACAAATAAAGTTCAATGAAGTTCACAAAGGAAAACAGAGGCTCAACTGTCCGTAGTGTATTTACCGAACTGATTACATGGGACGACACTCAGGATAATGTAACAGAAATTAGGTTGGCAGCAGTAGAGGGAGGCCCTGTTAATTTAGTAATAGTAATTTAGTAATAGTAATAGTAGTAGTAAATCTTATTCGAGTTATTGAGTCAATAAAGTTGTTAGCTAATCTGGTATGAAACAAATATCAAATAAAAAATGCAATAGTAAAAATAATGTACACAAAAACACGTTTGTTATGTTGTATTGTTACTATATTTTAGCAGGTTGTTCATGGAATCCACCTTTTAGAATAAGTCTGAAGAAACTAACAATTATTTTGTTGATTTGGCCTTGATACCCGTTAAAAGGAAATATTGTGTATGCATCGTGTTAGAAATAAAAAGGAATTAAAGTGTGCCGTTAAACAACATTTGTCAACAAAATATGAGTTGTCACTCTAAACCCATTTTAATAGTCACCAGTGAAATAGTACAATCAGCTTTACGTTTTTGTACATTGTACAAACAGCCAGCTTTGAAGAGTGGTAAAAAAATACGGTCTCAAAACAAACCCGCCAATTCAATGCAAATCGGCTGTGCAGTTGATTTGGCGGGAAACCGCAATAACCGCTCTATATTGGATGAGGCGATAGAACAATGCGCATGATCCGATCACAGATCAGTGCTTCATCAGATAAAGTTATTCAAGGATTTTAGGTGGATTATTTGAGCAGCAATCAAGTATTGTATAGCAATATTTATTTCCATGGGTTTGACTTAAATAATCATCACTAAAATAAACATACTTAACCTCTGTGAGGCTTAAGTCTCTAAAAATTTACCTTAAACATATTTTTGATAGATTTGATTAATTGATGATTGATGACATAGTTGAGATTTAAATTAATTTGTATAGAGAAAATATTTTAGCTTGTAAATAACCATAAAAAAAATACACATGTTAAATAATTATTCAGTAATCTGATATTTAAAGAAGTATCATTGTATTATTATCTTATGCAATTGCAATACAATAATTGATACAGAACAATAGATGCTGATTCATTTCAAGATATTAGAACTTTTTAGAGAGAATATAACACTAATCCACTCAGCTACCAAGCCGATCAGATTTAAAAAATAATAACTTATTATGGCTACTAAAAATGCTTAATGAAAAAAAAACGGAATGTTCAGCAAATACTATTAAGCCATAATACAGATAAAATAACAATCGATGATGTCATAAACATTTGTTCATTATTTCATTTACATTTGATGATTAGCCTAAATATTCTGCTTTAGTTATGGTTTGATGTAATTATTTGATAGGGAAAAGTACCGTTTTTAATTAAAATTGGATTTAAATAGTCATCTTAAATGAAAGAGTTTTGTAGTAAACCAGGTCAACAATTAATAAACATGATATTTTGTATTAAAAATTTCATTTTTTGTTGCAAAATAATCTTTAGTAATCCTTATGTTGTTCATGGGATTTAAAACTATTAGTTAGTTTTAGAATGATGCAGTTATGATGCCTTTTGCTGATGACGTATAGTTTGAACTAACATTTTCACCATTTTAATACCAAATACATAAAATGTTTCATATGTTTTAAATGTTTTCACCTACAAGTGTTGTTTAACTTTCAATCAATTGGGCTATATCCAACAAGACTACTAGAACTTTAGAAGACTTTTAGAAAATAACAAATTAGAAAGTATATCTTCGAGTATATTCTTGAAATAATATTATTTTTATTAGGCTGTAGACATTATCCAGCTTGGACATTCTAAAACCCAACCGGTTTGTGCATTTTAATCAAACATTGGAAAACAATCAATTTTTCATAATGGAATGCAGTTGTCACGTCTTTGCCATAAACCAATGTGTTCGCTGAAAGCATGACGTGGAGAACTGCGCTATGACTGCTAGCTGAATGTTCTATCCTCACACAACTATTAAAGTGTTTTTATATTTTTGGAATACGAAATTAATAAAATAATATGGGTGTTAATTATCCTATATATTAAAACGAAACAGGGTTTTTTTATTTCACGATTCTGAATCAACCACTTGACGGATTTTTATGATTTTTGTGTTGAAAGAAAGATAATTTTGAGAACTAGGGAATGTCGAAGCCATAATTTTAGTTTAGGGTTTCAGTTTTTTTGAAATTAAGTTTTAATTTTCAAAAAGTCTAGCAGCCGACGGACGAGTTAAAGTCGTTTTAAGTGGTAGTTTAACCAGGTTTAACTAACAGCTGGTTTCTGTCATTGTTGTTTGTATACAAAAATATTGATTGTCAGAGTTTACCTACACACTATTTTACTTTAAAATGCAGTTTATTTTCTACCGTAAAAGATCTATGTTATCAGGAGATTGTGTAATTTTGAACTAAACATTTTAAACGTATAATCAAGTTTTGTCATAAATGCATTCCGTCTAAGTATAAGTGCTTAATCCTTTAAGATATAAGTGGTTTACGTGTTGATACATCTTTTTCTAGATGTTTGAATATAAGTATGACTGCATACAGTACACATTTTATTCGGAATGAAAATGTCAACCACCGGTGTAGTAGGTCTCCAGAAAACTGACCAGTAAGCCGCAGGGTGTCAGTAGAAACCCAAATCGATTCATACCATATCATAACCATCCCAGTAGTACTGTATGATTCAGAAACTTGATAAAGGGGTACATTCCAAAAGAAGACCAAAAGGCTTGGATCTCGGATGGGCTGGGCAGGCTTTGCATGGCGGAGAGAAGATACGTCGTCAACTTTTAAAATTGTATTCCAATTAGTACTACAAGGTAGACGACCACTTGGAAGACCAAGTAATGAAAGACATCTTCAGTCTGGTATCTTCCTGTCTTCCTGTCATCCAGAAATGGCAGGGGATAGAAGAGAACGGGAGGCCAGAATCATTTCAGAGGTTTCAGTGGCCAAGGTGGTAAAATAAGGTACGGTAAGTGATAGTAGGCCTATGCAGCCTATAGCTACTGTACTCAAAGCCAGTGTGTGTGAATCGGCCACCAAGTTGTAAACTAGCTGTTCTGAATCATATTCAGTTTTAATTGACTACTCAATTCCCGTACGTAGGACGGGCCAACAGCTCGTTTAATTTATTTAGATTTTTAAATAGCCTACCCACTATACTACTTAAAACATGTTTTCCTTTAGATTTGGTTATAAATTATTTTTTCCTATAAAAACTTTTAGTTCTTTTGGTCACGTAGGCCTGTTAAATCTAATCAAATAGATTTTTACTTAAATGTATACTGTGTTTAAAAAATATACTATAACAAAATATTAACCAATAAAAACCTGATTCAAGGAATTACTTATTTTACCTAAAGCTCTTTGCTCATCTTCAGAGAACGAATATGGTATACTAAATTATAGTGAGTAATTAGTTAAAAATTTATTACGTAACTTATTATATATATATATATGACTAAAAGCAACATTTCCCTCGGTGATAAGAGCTGATGCATAATTATTTTGAATTATTTCTTTCCATTATTTGATTTGAATTATTTTTTAAGTCTTCGCATTACATATGTTGAGCGACGTGTGATGATGTAAAAAGCTATATGCGTATTCTTCAATACATTCAATTACAGTTTTTCATCGAAGTTTTCTATGAACCTCATCCTGTGTCACCCTGCAAAGGCTTTCAGTTTTCCTTTGTATATTTCATATTTTTTTGTATAGACACTGGCATATTGGAATAACAAAATTTTACTAGTAACTTAGAACCAGCATTCAAATGACTTGTTGAAACAGTAACTTCCCCTCTTTTTCAGAAATGACATCACCTCCCTCCTCAGACCCGTGAACTCATCACCATGGACCTCGAGCTGTCGGGCTTGTACGACTACGAGACGTCGTCTCTGTCTCCGGACGACAACTCCTCCGGCTACAACAAGACTAACGTCAGCTGCAGCAATGACTACTGCATCGACAACGCCGACTACATAGACCTGATAGAGAAGCACATCTCACCCAACCTCTACGAGTGTGTGCTGATTGGTATGCATGTGCTGGTGTTCGTGGTGGGACTGGTGGGCAACGCTCTCGTCTGTGTCGCTGTTTACAGGTCAGAAACTGAGAGTTTTGTTTAGTTATATATTTGACGAATATATATAAACATTATCCCTAGATGTAATTGAGTTTTTCTAAGCCTCTTAGACAAACTGCCAACTTGGAAGTTCATGAGGTACATACAGAATGTGAAGATTTGTTAGTTTTCAGGGTTAAGATTGAGAATAAATTTTTTTAAATTTATTTTGCCTATTTACTGATTTAAGTTCACATTGTCATATTCCTCTAGCCTGATTGTTGGCTATAAGAGGATATAGTAATGATGCAAAAGTTACAACAACAAGTGACACACAAAGTGAGAGGAAGTCTTATTTGAGGGAACCAGTGGAGAACTTGTTGTCGACGCTCTAATTGGCTTACCAAGCTTAGTCAGGTGGTCAAGGAATTTGTTGACTTTAGATGTTGACCCTATAAACTAGCTTTGAGAAACTCAATTTGAATTTAGGACTCTAAGACAATTTTTCAAGGTATACAACATTCATCCAAAACAATACTTTTGACATTTTCATTTGAAAAGTTTTAAACAATATAGTTGTGTGCCACCAACCAAACAAAACTAGTCAAAGTTATGGTTTCTAATGTTACTATTTTCAAACTGGGCCTACAATTTAAATAATATAATCTGCATTTGTTCAGCAATCCCACGATGCGCACGGTTACCAACTACTTCATCGTCAACCTGGCCGTGGCAGATTTCATGGTCATCTTATTCTGCCTGCCTCCAACTGTCATCTGGGATGTCACTGAGACTTGGTTTATGGGACTTGCATTGTGCAAAATCGTTTTATATTTCCAGGTAAGTCCATTCAGAAAAGGTAACACTAATGATTTTTCGTTGGAATAACACTTGTTCAAACATCCTTTGTGTACAAAAGGGTAATACCAGAAAATATGACAAAATGACACTGTACACATTTTTGTATGGACGGATCATAGCTGTTTTTATATAGACAAATTATCAAATGATAAAATACAATTTATTTAATATTAGGATGTGCTTATATTATTGTAAGCTCTCAAAAGTTGAAGATTTCCTACACAAACTAACGGAAATACCTATTAAGGATTTTACAGTTAAATGGAATTGCATATATGCTTGGCTCATAGCCATGAAAACTTAGTTTACAACTACCCAATGGTATAGTATACAGTTAAACCATTTAAATAGTATCCTCTCTTTAACTAGACTAATGGTTCACAAGTTACTGTGGTGGGAAGTAATATATTTATACATTGAATTATATTTTAAACAACAATTTTGAATTGTATTAGTGTCAACTCAACAAATCGCTAATATTATCCATTTGTCTTACCCGCGTTCCCAACAATAATGAAACGTTGCCAAAACACACTCCAAAACATGAAATTCAACAGCTTCTTTCTCAGGGATGAATCTGTGAAGTGCTGTCTGGTTTCACTCACAATACACAACAAAAACCGCCTTTGTTCTTCCTGTGTTGAAAGCAGACACTTCGTTGATGAATCCAAGCCTTCAATAAAACCCTTATAAAATATAATTTTCAGATTTATATCTCCAAAACAAGCGATTATTCAGCAGATCCACAACAGGGTTTTGTTCCAATTAAATTGTATCATAGTTGCATTATTGTAGTATCACCAATAAAATTTACATAAAAATATATCTGTTTATACAAATCAAATTTGTAAAACTGGTACACAAGTCATGAATTGGTTAGCTGAAAAACCCCGTAAATAAGATATTTAAAGGGGTTTATGTAAACAAAGGAAATCAAGTTTTATATTCAATTCATACGACAAAACCAATAAATGATAGTTGTGGTTAAAATTCTTACATTCTAATCTTTGTAGGCAGTAAAGATGTGATATTAAAAGAAGGGCTTCGTGTACTATTTTACTAAGAATTAAGTGGATGCACTGTTTTATGTCATAATTCAAACTCAGCTAACTTTATTTACATTTTTTTAACATAGAATAACATCTAATAACCAAAAATAATCAGTTTATAATTAAAGGCTGAGGTTATAGAATGATAATATTAATATTTGAACCCTTGCTTCTATGGGATCACAAAGGAAATTTCAAAATATTAAGAACATCGGGTACACATGAATATAGAACAAATTCAAACCTCTTAAACCTTTTAAATTTGATTTCCTGCATTTAAAAAATAACATTAAACACAGTTTTTCTTAATTTACTTCAGTACTTGTACATACCAATGAAAATCAATGATTATGCTAAAATCGATCAATATTTATCATGCTTAATAAATAGTTTTAAGTTAAACAGACTTAAACTTTAAAATACTATGTGTAATATTTGAACTAAATGGGGTACGGTTGGATTGAATATTAGCTCGTCAATTCTAAGTAGACAAGTAGGCATGTTTGGTCTTGTACAACCAAACAAGACTCAATTGCTAATATAAATGTTTAGACTGTCTTGTGAGAACGAAAGTATTGATTTTAAACAGTTAAAAATAACCCGTCTGTACCTCATTGTGTGCTAAACTACTGACCAACTCTAGAATAATCCAATTTTAACCCCACAAATGTTAATGATCAGTCCTACTAATATTATGATGTTAAATATACTCTACTTTCTCCGTTAAGGTTTGAATCTGGAGAGTTATGTGATGTTTACTGGACAGAGAAAGTATACCTTGGTTGGCCGTTTTACCAATTCGTCAATGCATATTTAAGTTTCAATGGAATTTTTTTATTAGGAGATTTCCTGATGAGAACATATAGAATATATAATCTTGCCTGTGACATCCAATAATATGTATTTGCTTTTGGACTAATAATTGGTTGTAAATGTATATATTTTTACTATTTGAATTGTTACAATGTACTGTAAAATTCGCTTTAACAAGCTAAATTACAACTGCAACAGTTAATGCGTTTTGAATGCATAACATCTAATAGTTTTGATCATTCTCTTTACACATGAAATTTGTTGACATTAAAAATTACGAGTAAATGGCTTTCCTAACGAAATCATGTCAATATGTTTACGTACCAGCTGTCAGTTAGTGGAGCTGTACTTCCTGATACTTTAACAAAATGCTGTTCGTTCTTTTATGTACTACACATTGATAACGTTACATGTTGATAGGTTTCATAAACTTGTCGAAAAATGCTCTCCTAAAATGAAAAGTTGTACATATGCGCTCTTTGTTTCATTTATCATCCAATGCTTACCCTACAACGTTATGGTTAGTCAAATTTATGTTTTTGAACGCTTTTGATCAAACATTTAATATATATATTTCAGTTAAGAAACTTTTACTGTAATTTTTAAATTTTAGGACTGCTGTTACTATTTTTAGATAATTATCTATGAAATTAATGTTTGTTTTTTTTAGAAAGGGTGGTATTGAAATAGAACAAATTGTTCCTCGTGAAAAATCAATTTACCATAAAGTTATTATTATTAATAATTGGGCCCAAAAAAGTTCGGTAAAAATATAAAAAGTTATTTTATTCCAAAATGACATTTTCTATATTTTGTCCCTTAAATTATATTATTTTTTTATCATAAAAATCTAAAAGGGTCGTTGTTAAAAAAATATTAGTTGGAATGGAGGGAATGATCATAAGGTATTATGATACCTTCAACATAACATCAAAGTTTTGATAAAGGTATCTATACTATAAATGCTGATTTATTATTTTTGAGTAAAATAAATAAAATTGTTATTTGAAAAGTCATACCTATAGATCTTTGCTATTGTTCAAATCATTTACAGATGACACGACTGGCTACTGTCGGCAAAAAAGCGACAAAAAGCTCCATTATAAACTCCATTATGACCATCTTTAATTATACGTTTAGTTAAGAGCAATTATGTGGATAAAGCAATCGATTAACAATCGAGTGATAAACATCTCATATCATTAAATTACAGCATACTATCATTTAAAGTTGCTTATAACCGTTATTAGTTATTTTTTGTTTGAATAAAGGTACCATAAAATAGGCTGGAGTTAAAACCTATAAAGTGTATGTTCATTTGTTCACACTGTTAAATAACAGTAGTTCTTTCAACTCCGAATTGAAGCTGACATCATCTAGCTGGTTAGGAAAATATTTACACCACGTTTAGATCTTGATTCAAAGAGTTTAAAATAGCACCTATCATCCCAACTCTTTTTGAAGACGTTGACTGAGTGAAAGTAGGTCAGCAACCAGCAGATTTTCAATACTGTTTTTAATTTAATCAAAGTAATTTTAAGGCAGTACACATTGATTGCATTGTTTGCACTTACTACAAAGTTGCAATATCAAGCAACAGTTTTTTTTAATAATTGTTTAATATACTCAATAAAATAAGGGGTTTTATCTTTAATATTCATTTTTTACTCGCTTTTTCAGTTTAAAACTAGTAAATGGACAAATGTCGAAAAGGGAATTCTTTTTTGGGCTTCTTCCCCCTGGCGTTAGATCTATTTATAAAGTTCATATTCAAAAATCCAATGATGATAACTTACTTTCTTTATAACTGTTCAAAATGTGTAATGAAATTAGCAGCTAATCATTTAGTTGAACGTTTTAACACAATCAGATTGCAAACATGGGACCGACGGGTAATGAAAACGAATATTGAAATGACTAAGGTTTTTTTCTATAGTAATAACCCGATTTAGGAAGGTAAGTCACTCTTTCTTTATGATATAAATATTCCGAATAGTTGTATTCATGTTATAGAAAATAAACACAATCTTTGAACGGTGAATAGCATTATTGACTTTGTTTTGAAAACAGGTTTTTGACGCTACTGTGCAAGGTTCAACTCTAATACTCTTAATATGAGTTTAATTAAGGAGCGAGCTGGCGTAGTGGTTAGAGCGCGGGACTTCGGTCCCTGAGGTCCCGGGTTCGATCCCCGTCAAATCACCGATGGATTTTATCTAAGTGATAATGCCGCAACCCCTAGGTCTAGCCTGAAGTAATGTGAAAAACAATCCAAGTTAATAGCCTATATCAAATTTGTTTTGCAAGCTGATGTACAAAGTGACTAAACAAGAGCTTAGAGTGATTAAATTTACTTTTATTTATATTTCCGTCGGAACAAAACAGTCTAGACTCATTACATTAACTTTTAATCAACGACCATCCTTATGGCTGTTTAGATTGTTCTGCCACACATACAATGGTAATTATATTTTGGAATAGCAACATTTATTTGCCATATCATAATTGAATATCTCATCATACAAATAAGTGTTTCATAAAAAAAATTCAAAATAACGTAGCATTCCCTCTCTCTTATTGGCGCAGTTATCTACAACGTAATAATTTGTCTTAACTAACAGAAGGTGTTATTATTCAATAATACCTTCTGTTAGTTAAGACAAATTATTACATTAATTTTATCCATCAAACTGCAAATTTGAGCCAAAAAGTTGTATTTATATTAATAAAAGATTATATCATTGAAATGTTTATGCCTTTGTAAAACAACCTCATCTATTTATTATATTATTTAACTCGGCGTAATGTATTTTTCTTTTACTTGATGCTCAGCACACAACTCAAAGAAACGTGAATTTGTTCTTTCCCCTTTAATATTTTATTAGGGCTTTACTGGCTCTACTTTTACACTATTCCTTGTTTTCGTTGAGATTTATACTTTATGTAGAATTGTAATAAGGAGTTTCATTTAAGTTTGTTTATGTATAAAATATGTTGGTTATAGTTGTATTAAATATCTTTTGTGGTAAAGTTACGCAATATCTGTAATATACAATCTTCACTTTAAATGTAGGAATCAACTTACTACTTACAATACTACAGTAGAATAAATTAACCCAAATTTCGTATTGTTATAATAGAAACAAGAAAACAAAAAAATATATGGCTGTAAGGATTGAAAATATATATAAAGCTTGCGATTAAAGTATATTACTCATGTAGTATATGTGGCTTGGATTACGATACATTATACAGATACATGAGTGTTAAGTTCGATGTGATATTCTAGACTGCCATAAGGTAGAGTCAGAAACAAGTTAAGTTGTCGACAATGTTTATGGCTGCATAACCGCTTGAGATATTTATGGGAAAGCACTTTTGTTCCTAACACATGACACATGTTATGAGTGTTGACCATTCCATCACGTCCTCCACAACATCAACAACATGTTGACAAGTTGCTTAATTTACAGCAAAATGTATGTTCCCATAAACCGACATTGTTTATGAAACACTAAATATAGCTGAAGTAAAGCTCTTTCATTCACATATTAGTTTCAGTTCTTAAGTTAGGATGTTCCTTGCTACAAATAGTGATACTTTAAGGATTATTTGAGTTGTTTGATAAACCTTAGATACTAAACAATAAACTCATCGATTTATAAAACAATGTTATTTCGTCTGGGCAATTGTCATATCACTTTGTGTAATGCCAAAGTTAAAAAAAAAACTACTAAAAATTTAAGTATAGAATTATAAAATTAAAACTAATTATATCAGTAAAAGGGTTGGTTGAAGTATAACAGTAAATATATCCATTTGGACATGTTCCAAAACTGTAAGATCTAACCATTACTACCACTCTCACTCCTCCCTTGTTCTTACATTGAGTTGCACTATTGCGTATACAGTATCTAATCAATGCTTACACCTACCTATTAATTGATAAATATTCATCCATAGACTCGTAGATGTTTTATTGAACGTTTTCTCTATTCTTTATGTACTCTCATAACTATTTTCAAATTATTTTTAAATTTTTTTTGTTTATACTGCATCTTCACTTAATTTGACTTTAGAAATCGTAAAATCTAGTATAATTAAAGGCATTCATAATTGCTTACCTAAGAGTCCTTATACGCCTTATACAGAAAATATGAATTGAAAATCTATAACCGAAATGCATCATTTACGTCTAAATAATAGTATACAAACATTATAAAAAGGTATCCACTTCTGAAAATGGTAGATTTGACTTGTTTACACTTTATTTTTAAAGAAGACGAAACATGTTCATAAACATTATTCAGAACTATGGCTTTCATCTTCTGAAAGAATGTATATATTTCACTTCAATTTGGTACACATATAACAGAAAATGTTAAGCATACAAATTTTGCTTTTATTTTTAATAACTATTTGGATCTACGAGTACGACACTAAAAAAAAATCGTTATATAGGCCTAGTTAAGTCCTCCTGGAACATGAACGCGTCATGTTCTATGAAGGTGTTCGTCGCATACGCATTTAAATGTCTTCCTTGTAAAAGGTTCCTTGTAAGGCCTATATAAGGAATTTTCTCTGTTCCAGACGGTGTCAGTGGCTGTATCAGTGTTGACTTTGACTTTTATCTCAGTAGATCGATGGTACGCCATCTGCTTCCCTCTCAAGTTCAAGTCTACCACGAGCAGGGCAAAAACTGCTATATTCATCATTTGGCTGCTGGCTCTCATGTTTGGTACGCATTTATAGTGTTTAAGTTGTCTAAATCATAATTCTCGTATTATAGTTATAAATTGTTTGTAACACTTTAAATGGTTAAAGGTTTCGTTTTAAATGAATTTATCATGTTTATATTCAATTAATATTTCACCTTAATTAACAGGTCCTGTAACTTTTTTTGGTAGTTGTTTCATAAACATGTGTAAATCCAAAGATTTCCTCAACCAAAAATTATTTTGCATTCTCAACACGGTTACTATTCACATATAAAAACATTTAACATAGCCTAGTTAATATTACACATTTACCTTATTTGCATTAATTGCTGAAAATTATCATCGTGTTTTGAGGGAACATTATTAAATTTGAAAGATTTTGTGTAAAAATAAATGTTGATGTATTTTTTGTTGATATGTAGGTCGGAAAGTCCTTAACGTATTATGTTCAACCTAATTTCATAATTTAATACTACTCTATAGAAAGTACAAAATTACCTTCAATTGATACCTACACTTCTAGAGAAATGATGAACAATAAATTCTGACACGTTTACTTGCAATAGGGATCAAACCACAATATATTGGTCAATTTACACGTATGTTTGATTTAATCGGTTGCTTACCTACAGACATACCGGAGCTGATAGTGCTCACTACAGTCAAGAAGGAGCTGAAGGTAGACGTCATCTACTTCACCCAGTGTGTTCCCTCATGGTCCTACCAGGCTGAGATGACGTTTAACACCCTCAAGATAGTTCTGCTGTACACGTTCCCACTGCTGTTCATGTCAGTCGCCTACTGGCAGATCGTCAGAGTGTTGTGGAAGTCGGACAACATTCCTGGTCACTCAGAAACTGTCAACATACACACTCAGACCAACATTGCTTGCACTAACTGTGAGTGTAACTGATTACAACGTATCAGCTACATCTACCTTTAGGATCAATAAAGGGTTAAATTTTTACAAAGTTTGTAGAAAAACTTAAAAAAAAACATTTAAAAACGACTGACAGGGTGACAAAAAAGTCTGGAAACAACTTAATATTTGTTTAACTAAATCCATTATAACTCAAACCTTTCACATCAACTTACGTTTATGAAAACTACTTTTTGCAACCATTACTAATTTTTGGCCTCCATCAGGAGTCATTTGTTACGCTAGCCATTTGGTCTTACAAGGAGTAGGTACATAATCTTTAACGTAAGCATAGGTTGATATGCGCATCATTTTAAAGGGCTAGTCAAGTGGAGTTCATTGCCGGAAACCACGTCTCAAAAGGTGATGTTGACCACGAGTATTTACCAATACTAAGGCCTGTGCAGGTATATTCCACAAGATATTTGGACAGCCACCATTTTGTAACGGATGAACCTTTTGAGACGTGGTTTCCGGCAATGAACTCCAGTTGACCAGACCTTTGAAATGATGTGCATATCAGCCTATGATTACATTAAGGATTATGTACCTACTCCTCGTGGGTCGTCCCCTGGTGGAGGTCAAAAAATGGCAAAGCTTGCAAAAAGTAGTTTGTATAAATATAAGTTGATGTGAAAGATTTGAATTTTCTAACGGATTTAGTTACCAAGATATTAAGCCGTCTCCAGACTTTTTTGTCACCGTAGATTAACATTTTCTTTTATTAATCAACCTACTTGCTTGGTCATTTTCTGACATATTTTTTTCTATTGAATATAATATTCTACGGATAAAAAAAAATATCTTAATTGAATTAACAACATTTAATTGAGTAAATCATCGTTGCATTAACTTTGTTCGTTGTTCTTACACAATAACACATCCTGAGGTGAATTTATTTGTTCCTACGTTCCTTATATTTGTTTTTTTCACAATATTTTCAGCTCTGAACAAGCGGAGGCTGACTCTCGCCAACACCACGACTCAAGGCCAGCTGAGGTCTCGTAGGAAGGCTGCTAAGATGTTGGTGGCGGTAGTCATCATGTTCGCCGTCTGCTACTTCCCTGTGCATCTACTTTCTCTACTTAGGTAAGCAGTACTTAAGTATAAACATTAGCATTTATACTTTATTTTAGGAGATCTTGAGTCAAGCTTTTGTTATATATCAGTTAATTAATAGCTTAATGACAAACAACAACCGCTTCAAGAATCCAGACCTGGATCTCACATGGCATTAACGCTTCAGATTGAGCAAATCCCTATATAATAGTCCCTTTGACCAGCAATTTATATGAAATTCCGATAATAATTTTAAATTATTAATAAAAACACGTTTTAGTTCTTTGGCAGGGCAGTCGTCGGAGTTAATGAAGCAAGAGATATGTGTCTAACTGATTTGTCGTATTTATTTGAGGCCATTTAACACATTTTCTTTGAAACCAATTGGAGAAGAAGACACATGATGGGCTTTGGCACATTCTACGACATGTAACGATGCCAATTGACGCCCCAATTTGATAAGGCCAAATTATGTCTTATCAGTGTTATGGTTTATTTAATTAATTTTTGATGATGTTGAAAATGATTCGAGAGTGTACGCATATTATGTTATTAATGATACTTATAGATTATAATGATACTTTTTTTATTTGAAGTAGGTTTATGCGATAATTATTTCTTTCTTTCTTAGAAATATGTGAAATAAAGATGTAGTCGAAGCAGATAAACAAGACTTGTTTCTTTTAATAATTAATTTTTTATATAAATATTAGAAACAGCAAAACTTTATTTGACCTTTGCAAACATGTTGAAAGAAATCGTTAACTCTGAATGTACAATGAAAAAACAAAATGCTTGTCCAACAAAATAAGACAATCCTCACTTTAATAGAGATTCCACCAGAGGCAATTCTCTGAGTGGTTCGCCACTTTAACCGAGAGACTTATTTAGAGAGAGTCGGTTTGCGGGGATTTATTTGTCACCCAGATGATCATACAGTACAACGAGCTTTAAAAAGTGTATTATGACATATTTCTCTTTAATTTATACATATTTTCAGATCTTATATGAAATAAGTGAACAAAAAATGTTATAAACCTCTGAGCATTAAACCTGTTCCCGAAATGTTGACATTATCGAGTTACCTTTATTGTTTGAATTTACTTTTCAGCATTTTGTCCGAGGGGGTAGTTTTTTCTTTATATTGCTGTTTGTTACAGATATACCTACAACATCCCCCAGACGGACACGACGGCTGCTCTGGCCATGATGTCTCATTGGCTATGCTACGCAAACTCCGCCGTCAACCCGCTCATCTACAACTTTATGAGTGGTATGTTCAAATAAATACAAACAAATAATAAACATTATATCTTCTTATCAGGATTGTTTTGTGACTTAGGTACTGTAATAGTATTCTGGCAGACAAACGTTTAGAAATTCATAAGTGGATTCTACACGATTGCACATGTTGTCCAATGACATGATGACAGTGTCTGACGACATTATTTTTTAAGATAGAAAATACACAAATATAGTTAAAAAATCCTATTTAAATCACATTAACATTTTAAAAATCAAAACAATGTGCTGACATGTAAATGGTAAATTGGTTGACGAAAATCCAGTCAGTATAAGATAAGATTTTATGCTAACAAAGTCTTAGTGTCATGGACAACACGTATTTGAATCATAGCTCCGACTTTTTTCACATTTAATAAACATATCAAGCTGCAATTTTCTCGATAACTGTTAGACTTATTTTTAGTTTCGTGGCCTACAACCCGTTTTTTCTTACTTAAGTGTGTTCTTCGTTTCAACACTATGTAACGTAATGTTATGATATATCTAAAATGAATTTGTTGAAGTAGGAATATAGGATTGTTCTGTTCGTTAATATTATGACGTTTAGTGATTCACAAATCAGATGTATTATGATTTATGTTTAATGTAAAATAGGATGCTGCATGTCTCTACCAAAGTCCAGTTTAGTTTTCTTATTCCTCACAAGTAAGTAACTCTTCTTTGTCTGTTGGTAGGGAAATTCCGCCGTGAGTACAAACGCGCATTTCTGAGATGTGGGGGACAGAGTCCGACCGTGGGTCTGGTTGGTGGAGGCATGCAGCATCTCAACGCGTTTTCGGAGTCTCACAATAACAGCATGTACCACACACCCAGGAGGGTGGCGACCACCACGTTCACCGTCTCTCACAGGATACCTGAGCGTCACATCACCTGGGACAACGACAGACAGTTCTAGCTAATAGTTACCCAGCATTTCTAAACTCCGAGGACTGTAGCTACTCAGCATTTCTAAACATCGAGGACTGTAGCTATTCAGCATTTCTAAACGTGGGAGATATAGTTTCACAGAATGTAAATTTCGACAAGGACTGTAGTTACCCAGAACGTCTTAACACCGAGGACTGTAGTTATCAAGTACTTCTAAACACCGAGGACTGTAGCTACTCACCACTTCTAAAAATCGGAGATATAGTTACTCAGAACCTCAACTTTGACACGGACTGTAGTTATCAAGAACTTCTAAACACCGAGGAATGTAGCTACTCAGCACTTCTAAACATCGGAGATATAGTTACTCAGAACCTCAACTTCGACAAGGACTGTATTTATCAAGAACTTCTAAACACCGAGGACTGTAGTTACTCAGCACTTCTAAACATCGGAGATATAGTTACTCAGAACCTCAACTTCGACAAGGACTGTATTTATCGAGAACCTCTAAACCCCGAAGACTTTAGCTACTCAGCACTTCTAAACATCGGAGATATAGTTACTCAGAACCTCAACTTCGACGAGGACAGTAGTTACCCGTAACTTCTAAACACCGAGGGATGTTGCTTATTGAGCTCTTCAAATCTTCAAGGACTGTTAATTGCCGAGAATCTCTAAACTTCTGGGTAATACTCAGAAATGGTAAACTGGTGAGAACCTCAGTTACTCGGAGCAACTAAAATAAAAGGATATTACTAAATTATAACTGCCAATAAATTATAAAGACCGAGTGGTTAATAATAATATGTAAACGTTAAAGTCTGTTGGATTTGCACGGTTTTTAATACTGGAATGGCTTTTCAACTTAGTAAGTATATTAATATAAAATGGACTATTACATTTACTAAATTCCTCAGCATTTTACAGTAAGTTTTTGTTATTAAGTATTTTAAGTTTGTCAATGGATTTTCTGAGATAACAAGTACTCTTGGAAAGGAGTACAAAACAATTAATATATATGTTAACATTAATATATATGTTTTATTATATATATAAATTATATGTTGTCATCAGCATAGTTTCGTGACGCAAGTAATAATATACCTGCAGACACACCTTTTTAGAAGTTCATAACTCGATTCTAAATGATTAATTATAAACAAATCCTATGGTCCTATGGATTCATATTGTTAAACTGTTGCTGAAAAACTAATTTAAGTTTGCCCAACCACTTCAATCCAACATTACAAATGTTTGCAAACAAACAAAATCATTTCGAGCACACTACTAAACATTCAATGATACATATCCAATATAGATTTTATAATGAATAATCTGCCGTTTCTCACTGTTTTAAAAGGTTTTTGAGCCAAATTAATTTCAATGTTATCAATTGTAAAAAAAGTTTTACCAAAGAAATTAAATACAAAGAATATGTGGAATTTTATTATAGTGACAGATTATTTAAAGATAAATAGCGATAGTGATATTTTAAGAATTAAGTAAAGTGCTACATAAAAAGGTCGTATGACGATACAGATCCCACAAAACTCGTATACAAAAAATATAAATTTCCTTGCACACATCACATACTACACATGATATTTATGTAAACTTTCTAGTCAAAATAAGTCTTTCTCTATGTTTGTTGTAAAACAGAAGAACTTTGTACTGCATATTATGTATGATGTATGATGTTTCAATTAAGACGTTATTTATTTATTTATTGGAATATTTAAAGTTAGTTCTAGGTTTATGTGCTGTAAATATCTTACTGTATGTTTTAACTAAATTATTTATTATAGTGATACTACTTAAAATAAACTTTTATGGGTATTGTTTTTGTATATATATGTACTACATTTTCCCATGAAAAATGTACCTGAATATTACAAGTTATTTTGTTAGTTGTGTTTTGCTACTGATATTCATATTTTAAGACTAACTACAAAAAGGTTTACTTCACCAATAAGCCCAAAAACTAATAATTATTTACAGGATTTACATAAATTTTATTATGTTAACTCCTTGAAACAAGTTAAGCTTATAAATACCTAAATCCACAACGTGTATATCAATCAGTGGTTACCTTTGACTGTTATTATTTTATAAAAAAATAACCTGCTACTGACTACAATAACACTGCAACTACCTTTACATGACCTGCTTTACTGAATGCTAAGTAATAAACTAATGAAATAGTCATTTGAGTTATTGCTCTAACTCACATAAGATTCTATTACACGAACATAGCAAACCAACAAAGCTCTAAAGACATTTGGCACAAACAGGTTCCATATTTGAAGTGTAAATATTTAATCTTAACTCATACGAACTTCCTTTTCCACGAATTACGTGTTTAAGTTCCTTTTCCAATGATCCATTTATGGTCTCGAATTATGTATTAATGTTACATGTGTTTAATCAATCAGTGTGTTTAAGTCATTTTCAAATGTTTGTGATAGAGTGTATATAGGAGTTAATAATATATTTGGATATATTTTAAATATTTTTATACTGAGATCTCTTTTGAAATCATATTTCTGACACTGCGGGGAACTAACGTTTATATGACATTGTTTTTTGTTTATAAAAAATAATTACTCAAAACCAATAAGTTAACTTTTTATCTTGATCAGTTGACTGGACGTTTAAAGTACAGTAGCATAATTAATTACTGGGATTACTTTATTCTTCTACTTGTTATTATTTTAGAGTTTAACACGTTTTATAACTAATTAATACGATTAATTTTAATGTATCTTAGGATAGTGATAGCCGTTACAACGCATCTTTGTAAATTCTCGATTTGTATTTCATCATATTGATCTCTTAGTGTCACTGTCATAGTGTTATCCAATGTCTCATGTTTATGACTAAGAATCTCAAAGGTTGTTTAGTAGTTTTATCCAAACAGTAGGCCTATTCGTTTCTATCAAAGATTCGGTCATTGTGACAGATAACTAGCTAATTGTTATGTTTGTCTAACAAAAGCACTTTTAAGATGTATCTACAGGAAGTTCCAAAGTTGGCTAGCTTCTTATAATCTCATTAATAAAACGAATGTTACCTAGCTTTGAACCAAATTTCAAACTAAGAAAGTAATCAGTACGAGATTGACCATTAAATTACATTTTTGAACTCACTTAAGACACAAAAAAATTGGTTTTTGAATAAACTACAACTAAAACATATTTGTGTTTAAAATAGGTGTTTATTTATATAAAATAAATGTGCTATTTACTGTAGTACATCATCCATGGGCGTTTTATATTGTCGTGAAGTTAATGTAATAAACGTGAATACCCTATTGTAATTTATCTCCCTTAACGTAGTAGTATTAGAGATGAATAATGATATTTTTGCTGCAAGACCATCAAAGGCTGTGCTATAATATAATATCCAAACTAATTCTAACGATCAAAATTCATAGCATTTGCCTTCATTACTTAAAAATACTTAAGGGCACTAGTTCATTAGATAAATTTAGATTGCAAAATAGTTAGTTTTTTTATTGTTACATGTTGATGAAGAGTATTATTGATTTATCATATGGAAAAGTGTTCAGGAGAAGTAAATAAAATATTGCTATATTTTCATGTTATGTAAATGAGACTAGTTTTGAAAACATGTGTCGATCGAATAAATTTTAGGATTTATAGAATTTTGTATTGTATTACGGTCTGATGAGTTAATTTACTTGGAGTGTATCTTAAAATTTTAACCTTTTGAGAGGAGGATAAAATATGAGTGATCTTATCGTAAAATTATTGTGTAGAAATGTATCTATTTAAATGTACATGTTCAAATCGATGTGTAAAAATCCTTGATTGATTAATACTTTGAGCTCAAATTGTACACCATATCACTCATGATTAGACAACTACAGTATAGTGGTAATTACTTTTGTTTGGTGCTTCAAAGTTTAAAAGACTGACTCTTTTATCCCGCTTGTTTGTGGAGTGTTAATAGTTGTTAAATAAATTGTGCTTTCTCAATGTTGACTACGTTTTATCAACCTACGTTTGTTTGTATGTCCATACATTTCTCTGTAACTATTTACTAATGATTAGGACAGAGAGTAAACGTGTTATAAATTACTAAAGTATTAGGATCTTTGGATATTAATTATTAAGTATTATCTTATTAATAATAATGTGATATGTGTTATACAAAGTTCATACAAAGTTCATACAATTCAAACAACTAAAAAAAATCAGAAACAGTACAAAAATAAGGCTTAGGTACTTATGAATCCAAAATTAGTTTTGAAAATATATTCAACAAACTCAGCACATGATGCAGCATTCTAGCGCAAGGCAGAATACATGATGTCAATATCTTTATAGGGACAAAGTATTGTTCGTACTCCATTATAATCTATATTGATGGTAATTTGTTATGCAAACTTTAAAAATGTTTACGGAAGATTTTATGAGCTACTTTGTATCATCATATTCCCTAAAACTATGAGGGAAGGTTTTTAAGCAATCTATGTACTAAATGATGCTAAAAAATTATTAAATGACTTGTTAAAATAGGGCTTGACATGTTTGAAATGAAAGGTTCGTTGCTTCTGTAAAGAAGAAATGATTAATCATGAGTAATCAGCACTTTTGAGCCAGTTTTATATTCAATTTGTAATCAAACTATGGAAAACTATCAACAATCTCAATTAGTTGTCAGACTACATGACTCAATCATCCAGGTACAATCAATGGTGCACATTTAGATCCGTAGATGGTAGCATGCTTTGGTTTCATTTTTTATCTTAGGAATCACTTTTCGAGTTAAACCGTTGTCTTCAGATATTGAAGTATATATCCAATCCATATGCTGTTGAAAAGTAGAAGATAGCTAAATGAGCCGTTCACAGGATGTGCTATAGTCTAACACTATTATGTTCTATATATCTTATATATAGAACTGTGTAACTGTGAGACAGAATGGTTCCAACTTACATTGTCTTCCATTCAGTATAATTTGGTTAACTAACTAGGGTGTATAACAGATATGTTGATTTACAACAGTATCTATCTACGGTCTGAACTATCTGTAACTGTAACAATGTGTCCATTACAACTGTAAAACTGGCTACACCTGCAAACATGAAAACGGTATAACCACTTCTAACAGTAGTCAAAGATTTTATCAGTCCCTATAAAGCACTCTGCAGTAGGTAATGTTTGTGTTTAGGCAAGTTCAGAAAGGAGTTCGAGCGTACCTTCGGCTGGTGTATTGGTCACAAGCCTCGTCCTCTTCAGCACTTCCCTCCTCGTACCTCTAGCACTTACACCTGTCAGGTGACCGCTGGGGCCACCACGCCCAGGTCAGAGGTCATACCTCTCAGCGTCTCATCCATCCCTGACTGTGACTACTGAATGGTAAGTATTCATATTTCCAAACAAACTTTCTGGCTAGGTTATTTGGTTATCTTAGGCCCAAGCCCTGGTTTTGTCATTATATATTAACAAAATGTTGTTAGATAGAATGGTTATTGGTAGCCCAACGAAAAATGCCATCTTGGCCCTGAATCAATCTCAGTAGAACTGGCGAATGTTTAGGGGCAAGTACCTAACCTCTCATCCACCCAGAATTTTTTTTATCTTGTTGGTGTTCTGGGTATCCCACCCAAAGAATACCAAGTGAAACAAGCAATCGAATATAATGTGATGAATGGTTTGACTTGATCTCTTCAACAACTAAGATCGATTCATTATCCCTGTTGTTTTAAAGTGACAAAAACAACATTCATGCTCTATGTGTTCGTGCTCATTTGTAACCGACCATCAGAAATATGAGAGACTCAGTCCTATTTCATAACAGAATTTTGTAAGTCACCTAACAACAGCAATTACCCGATATTTTAACGAACCCTCAGCAAACTCATAAAGGTCCAGACATTGCCTTTGTTTTAATAATGCAGTATACCGTACATTTAAAATACAACGTATTTGGCGAACTCATAAAAAGTCTCTTTTAATTGATAAATGCATTACAACGAATGATTTTGACAATATTTATTTATTTTTTTTTTTATTAAGTGCAATACATAAAATTTTTGTATTCTCATTGACTTTTTATTTAAAAAACCTAATTAGCCTAAATTAATAAAACAGCTCTTTATTTCACAAAACTTTTATTCCAAACCTGATTATACTCTAATGATTGTTTCAGGCTTAGCACGATCGCCACTGCATCACTACAAATACCTCATAAGTATTAAAATATATGTGATTTCACGCCCTAATATAATGTATGTGTAATAAATTAACCAAACTTAATGTTGTGAACCAATTAAAAACTAATAAAACTACTTAATCAACATAAAATATATTTTTCTACATTTTCGTCTTTATATTTTTGGCTACTTCTTGTATAAAGTGTGTTTCCCTGTAAAGTAAAAACTGTCTTTGAAACAATTTTTATTGCTAATGACTATGATGTACTATTTTTCTATTAAATGACTTCTGTTTTTTTTTTACGTAAAAAATATGTCTAATGACAGTTTAAACATTCATTTTTCACTTATAGGCCTTTACCAATACGTTTACTATCACTCTAAAAGTTACCTAAAATTTGACTAGAGCATTCTGGTAATGGTTATTGTTATTAGGATATTTTGGAACCAAAGGTTTGTTGTGTTTTATTTGTTCATGTTGTATTTTTATAGTATATTTAGTTTATTTGTTGTTACATTGATCAATTGTTTATTTAAATAAATAATGGATGTAAAAAAGGTGTTCACTTCTTTCCATTTCCACAAATAAATATATCATATGTACGTTTTAAGTGTTGTGAAAACGCTCCAATTGAATGGTTTACCTGAAATGTTCGGTTAACAATCTAAATTTGTTGTTGGTAAACACAAAAATAAATTTTGCAACATTAAATTAATAAATTCAGCCTGGTTTATTTCACCATATATTCTATTTTAAGTATGCAAATATTTCAAATAAACATATTAAGCAAATTATATAACCCCATGATATCCAAATGCCATTAACCGATCTGGTTGTAACTCATGACAGTTCATCTTGTTCCACACATAAAGCTAAGCTTTATCAAAATCAGACCGCAACGGCTCGAGTTATTGCGTTCACGGACGCGTATACAAATTATATTCAATACGGTACTGTTTTCGTCCTCAGGTGTCATGAAAACACAAAAAATAAATTTGACCAAAGTCTAGCTGTTACCTTGCCACTAACGCTGAAGCTTCTCTATAGGGGAAATCCGCTAAAGTAAATACAATAATTAGTATTATGTAGTTGTTCATCTACCTGATTTACAGTTATAAGTAACACTACCTTCGCATCGCAACTAATAATAAAAAAAATATTTGTAGTGTTTTTCAATCTGCAACAAACTAAACAATATTAATTGAATATCAATTACAAATAAATCTCCCGATCGTGCAAGATTAATATTGCAATCAAAATCACCAATTTATCTGAGAAAAGTTTAATTGGACGTCTACCGTCTTCGTATTGGAATTTAACTCGTATTTCTATTAAAATGTCGAAGGCTTTTCTGTTATTCAAACGCTTTTAATAAGGTGTTATTAAATATACTTTGTATGGTTTACGGTCGTTATAAAGACTTGATACAAATAATACGCTTGTCAATACTTTGTGATAACTAAATGCACGAGTTAACCTTGAAACTGCAAATTAAAACTTGACTAAGCTAACAAAAGTTTTAATGTAAGACTTTCCTAGAATATGTATTGTTGTCATATTTAAATTTATACTTTTAAACTGACGTTTTCATTCATTTAAAAGTAAATCAAAGAGTAAAAATTATTTGACAAGTACAAGATATAAGGACTGTCTTTGATAAAGAAATAAAAAAAAGATCTCAACATGTTATGGATCCATTAATTTTATTGACGATACGTATTTAAAAGTTTTAATGACTGGTACTCTTTATTTGTTTGATTGACTTGATACAATTTTCCCTTAAGAGTTAGTAAAAAATAGTTCGTTGTATTGTAAAATCTCTAAGATGGTAAATACAACAACTAAAATGGACTGTCTAAGTAAGTCTCTTAGTTTAAAGTGGCGAACCACCCAGAGAATTGCCTCAGTTGGAATCTCTTTTTAAGTTAGGATTTTCTTTTTTTATGGAAGAAGAATTTTGTTTAATTTATTGTACATTCCTCATTTAAATAATGCTTTAATCTTGTATAAAATTATAGTTATACTAAAATGTAAGTCTTAAAAAGCAAATATGAAAATGTTAGAATGACTATAAAGTAAAAGGGATGTAAATACAGTTTTTGGTGGTAGATTTTTTTTTCTGGCACATACTTGTTCTTAAAACCTATTGTGAAATTATACTTTCTATTTGGAAATTTACTGTTCCATTTTAACTATAATTGCTAGATCATAATTTTGTTTTATGGATCAAGGGTAGATTAAAAATCAAAACATTAAAAACAAAACAAAATTAGAAGATTTTAAAATAAATTGTTAGAAAAGACTAAACGGCATAATAAAGGACTGTGGATAATAAATATTAATGAAATTAAACTACGAGTCGAAAGCTGTTTTAGTGGATGGTGATCCGGTTAAAGCAATCCAATCATTAATGTACAATCAATAGTGCAAGTCAATTCTATCACGAAGGTAAATGGGGTGACAGTAATGGTTGGATCTTACAATTTTGAGAATCGTCCAAGTGAATACATTTACTGTTACCGTACGTTATAAAAATCCATTTGTGAATTTGAGCATAAATTGCAGCTGTATATTGGATTTAGAACCAATCTGTGAATGAAACAGCTTCACACAGCTTTATTTAGTGTTTCATAAACATTGTCAGTTTATGGAAACATACATTTTGCTGTAAATTGAGCAACTTGTCAACATGTTGTTGATGTTGTGGAGGACGTGATGGAATGGTCAACACTCATAACATGTGTCATGTGTTAGGAACAAAAGTGCTTTCCCATAAATATCTCAAGCAGTTTGCAGCAATAAACATTGGTGGCAATGTTACGTGTTCCTGTCTATACTTTGCGACAGCTAACGAATAACCCCAAAACGTTATGCTTCGGTAAATTTTCCAAGAATAAAATCCAAAATACTTCACGGCTAGACATAGTATGATTTATTCAATCCAAGCAAACATATTTCAAAGCAACAGTAATACATTCATTAATTTCATTGAAAGAGAATACCATAATGCACTAAGCTGGAATATATTTTATGCTTCGCTTTTACTTAGCAAACAATAGTATCTATATTGTTTTAAGATTGTAGATTTGTCGTTCAACTTAAATCAGCAGATCAAAACTTATTATACTGATCGTAATATTTAAGATATTTATTTTACTACAGAAAGGGTCTTATCCAAAAATAAAATTTACGTGAAAACATCACATTTGCAACTCCTAACCAAAAATCTTTAAAAAATCCTTAGATTGCATGTTAACTGAATCAAAGAATAGGCCAAAATATAGGCCAATAGGATAGCAATGGTCTTATATAATTTTAAAAGCCGGAATAACAAAGATAAATTGAGTAAGTTATATGCGCTGAAGAAGTAAAAGATAAATGTAGTAGTATGTATAAATATGGTATGTAATAAATGTAGATAAATGTAGTAAATAAGTTAATAGTTAGCTTTTAAATAGGTGAAGTTTGTGTTATAGAGATCAAAATTGAATACACTTTACATGATTTTACAACTTTTATAATTGATTTTTTTTAGTATCTTTTATTTACATAACAGTAGTTTACGCTATCATCGCGTAAGGCTAATTACGCGAGTTGCGTACACTCTTCTTATTGTCCCAACTCATTGTTTAATCAATCACATTGGTCTTATCAGCTGATAAGTTGACGTTCGAAATATTAAATTCTACTTCTTTTCTCTCGATTCTTGCACTTCATTGGTCCAAACTTGTGCTGTAAAGTAACAAAACAATACTGAAAAGCGAATATTTTCAATTCCAAGAACTGAATTGCAGAGGGTAGTTTAAACACCAGTTATAGGTAGAGTAAACTACTTTATAAACTAAAACTTTACCATGTATTTTTACGTGTCACTATTTCGTAACGATAACCATCGTAAGTGTTGTAGAACAATCTAGAACAACCATTAACTTGGTCGAGTTTAATTTAACGAGTTTAAGTTTGCTTTGTTTTGTTGGAGGTCTGAACACATATTAGTTTAGTTAGAACTATAGAACCTTAACTTGATATTTTGTGACTTTTTAAAGATATTTAGAGATATTTGGCCCAAATAACATATTTACATAGTTATAAACTTTTACTAACCAGATGCTGTTCAAACCTTATTTTCCAATTAATTATTAGAATAAGTACTTACTTTAGATTTTTTTTACACCAAGTTAAATGTAGCCTGTATTAACGAAACAACGTCGTGTTTTTTTAACGTTGATTAAATGTTTCATGAAAAATTGTAAAATACTTCTTTGTTTTCTTTCAGGAACAAATAAATATAACTAATGATAATAACTAATTGAATAAATAAATAAACCAGCATGTTTTTTTTATTAAGGCAATATTAATCCAAAGATGATGCTAAAAAAACTCTCACACTCTTAGTTTCCTTAAGGGTCCAATTTAAACTTTGTGGTATATTTTTGACGAAAAATTGTTTTGTTGAATTATAAATACCATAGAAAACACAACACTAGCAAAGTTGTACTTTAATCCCTAACACACATTAAACACAATGGTTACTTAGAATCGTTTCAAAATAATACTATGCAATTTAATAGAAAGTATTAACTAATGCTGGTGTAAGTTTTATCATATAGAATAATTACACGTCCTCTACTGTGCTTAAATTCTATAAAGTTTAAAAAAAATATTTACAAAAATCATTAAAATCATTTCATATTTTTATTATTTGTAAATTGTATCATTTACAATCATTGTAAATGATACAATTTACAAATAATAAAAATATGAAATGATTTTAATGATTTTTTTAAATATTTTTTTAACCCAAGAGAAAGTGGGTCACTGCCCGAACGATTTCAAAAACCGTTTTTGAAATCGTTCGGGCAGTGACCCACTTTCTCTTAGTAAACATTATTTACAAACAGCTGAGGGGATAGACGCTATTTTAAACTCTTTGAAATCAAGATCTAAAAGTAGTCTAAATATTATTCCAAGCAGCCCGATTGTGTTGATCTCTATTCAGAAATGATAGAGCTACTAATGTAGAACTTTGGGACAAACGTCATAATTGTTCAACTCCTTAAACTCTGTTCATCAAGGAATTCACACTTAGAACATTGTGTAATAGTGATTAAAGTTGTATAAGTAGTTAAAACTCCATAATCATAGAGGCTTTAAATTGTCAAACTGTTAAATTAAACGATAAATAAGGTGGGGCATTATTTATATTACTATTGATTTAAATGTTAACTGAAACGTGATTCTTGGCCATCTAGTTAAACCAAAATTGTGACTTATTTTTGAAAAAAATGTTTATAGCTAATTAATTGTTTACTATTTTGGTTACTTTGATTATTTATAGAAATAAACCTAGAGAGGTCATATTTATCATTACCTTTAGCACAAAAACTATTTGTCTTATACACTCTTTCTATTTTATTTTCAACCTTTTCAAATTACTAGAATATTGCATATTGTTATATATCAGATAAACAGCAAAACTAACCGTTTAGTTAAAACTTCGTTACCCAAATGATGTA